GAAAACAAACAGATTCATCCTGGAGAGGGTTAAACCAGGCTACTCTTTGGAGGCAAGGATTCTGGGGCTTTTTCTGATATACTTTGGACATGTTGTAAGGAGAGACAGGTCTTTGGAGAGGGACATCATGCTTTGGAGGGTGGAGGGACAGCGCAGGAGGGGAAGACCCTCTATGAGGTGGATTGATTCAGTGACTGGGGCAATCGGGATGGGTGTGTCAGAGGCAATGCAATTGGCACAGGATAGAGCAGGGTTTAGGGCTGTGGTACATAGGGTCTCTCTGAGTCGCAAACGACTGGACGGCACATAACAACAACATGCAATATTTGTCCTTTTTGTGGCTGAGCTATGGTCAACTGATTTTTGACAAGGAGATGAAATCAGTTAAGTAGGGAAATGACGGCCTTTTAAACAAATGGTGCTGCCAAAATTGGAAAACTATCTTTAGAACACTCAAAGATCCACATCTCACTCCATACAAAAAAACCACCTCAAGCTGGATCATGGATCTAGGACTAAAACCAAGGACTATAAACTTCATTAAAGAAAAGCTTGGAAGAACTCTAGAAGTCCTAATCCACAACATAAACAGTCCTCCAAGCATCCTGAAAAATCTACAACCACAAGAACTCTAGAAGCTCTGATCCACAACATAAACATTCGTCCAAGCATCTTGAAAAATCTATAACCAGGAGAGGATAAAATAGATAAATAGGACTTTCTAAGAATCAAATCCCTATGCATACCCAAAAACTTCTCCAATTGGGTAAAAAGGGAAGCCACAGACTGGGAAAAAATATTTGGTAATGACATGTCAGACAAGGGACTTATATCTAGAATATATAAAATCCTCGAGCACCACAACAAGATAAAGGTTAACAACTTAATTGAAAATGGGCACAGGCTATGAACAGGCACTTCACCAAAAAAGACACCCATATGGTAAACAAACACATGCAGAAATGTGCAAAATCCCTAGCTCTAAGAGAGATGCAAATCAAAACAACTATAAGATATTATCTCCCTCCAGTAAGAATAGCAAAATTTAACAGAACAGCAAACATCAAATGCTGGTGAGGTTGTGGAGAAACTGGAAACTGTATTCACTGTTGGTGAAAGTGGAAAATGGTCCAACCACTATGGATGACTGTATGGCGCTTTCTCAAAAATTTGCAGATAGAAATACCGTTTGGCCCAGCAATTCCACCACTGGGAATTTACCCTAAAGAAACCATAACCACCACCCAAGCAGATATATGCACACCCATGTTTATTGTGGCTTTGTCCACAATAGCAAGGAGTTGGAAACAACCAAAGTGCCCATCAACAAACGAGTGGATAGAGAAGCTGTGGTATATTCACACAATGGAATAATACACAGCATTGAAAAACAAGGAACTCATGAATTATTATGCAAAATGGGTGACCCTGGAGAACATTGTGCTGAGTGAAATATCTCAGTCACGAAAGGACAAATATTGCATAGTGCCATTATTGTAAAACAGGACTGACATCAGGGTTGAAGGGAGACTGAGAAAGAGGGGATAAATAATGTATACTGCATCTAAACAGATGAGGGAGACAACGTGGGAATTGTATACTAATGAAGGAATTTTTTTTTTTTTTTTTTTTTTCTCTTCAGAGGGGGAAGTGAGCTGGTGGGGAGGGGTGGGCAGGGAGAAAACTGCAGCAATGAATGAATGGAAATCCAAAACCTCTGTAAAAAAAAATTAAAAATAAAAAAAGGGATATTCGAATGGGTATTCCTGTCATTACCGAAGTCTAGGGTGAAGGCTGCATACTGCAGTGGACTTGAGGTGGAGGGCTTACATAACAATGAAAGAGTTTTTCTTTCTTTCCAAGGAGAAGAGTTAATTGGAGGGAGAAAAGTGAAATAATGAATGACTGGAAACCCTAAGTCTCTGTAAACTTTCATTAAAATAAATTTTTTTAAAAGGGGATATATGATTAGGTATTGTTGTCATGACAGGAGTCCAGAATGAAGGGTGCATAGTGGAGTGGACTTGGGGGAAGGATCACATAACAGTGAAAGAATTTTTATTTTACTTTTCAAAGAGAGGAACGAATTAGGAGAGAGGGATGGGCAGGGAGAAAAGTATAACAATGAATGAATGGAAATCGAAAAGTCTCTGTAAACTTCCATTATAATTAATAAAACAAATCATCTGATCATAATTAGATGAGTTGATTTCTGGATTCTTGATTCTATTCTATTGATCTATGTGTCTGTTGCTTTGTACCAGTACAATACTGTCTTCACCACTACAGTTGTGTAGTAGGATTTGAGATCAGGGTGTGTCATGCTTCCTACCTTGTTTCTCTTTTTCTGTAGTATTTTGCTCATTTGAAGTCTCTTTCTATTCCAGACAAAACAGGAAATTGTGTTTTCCATCTTGTTGAAGAATGGGGTTGGTATGTGTATTGAGATTGCATTGAATTTGTAGATTGCCTTTGTTAAAATTGACGTTTTCTTTTTTTTTATTTCAAAAAAGATATTGAGACTTTTTATAGATGAAACCTACTTCCTAGAGGCAGGAAAACCAATCGAGCTGCAAATATTACAGGTCTGCATCTGTGGACTTAAAATGATCATCATCCACAGTGGAGAAGATGTGTCCCTCATTGCTAAGAAAATCCACAGCTTGCTTGATCACAGTTACAATCATGTGTTTGAGCCGAGCTTCGAAATCCTGAAAGTTCAAGGTCTTGTGCAAGCTTTAATCAAATTCAGCATCTGGTTTTGGGCAACGGTAAGGCTATTTGCTGGAGCAAAGGTATTCGCTGCCTCACCCGTTCCAGGATTGCTGACAGGTGTTCTCATTGCTGAGGGATGACTGTTGTATTGGTTTAATATCATGTGTGAATTGACCACTTCCAGTATATGCATGGGGAACTCATTCATATCTTCCAAGGGCATGATTTTAAAGGCTGCTAGACTTTTTTTTTGTTCTAAAAAGATCTCAGATGGCCATCTGTTTTCACATATGTTTCTGCAGGAACTACCGTGTTTTCACAACTTGTGTCTGTTTTCAACCTGAGTAGGGGTGGGTGACTCAAAGCCCACTGGGGACTGAGTGTAACCACCGGTAACACTGTAGGAGGCACTGCTGAAGCTCTCAAATCCACTATTCCACCTCATGGTTGTGGTTCCTTCTGGGGGCAGGCCCAGTAACTCTGATCTACTGGGTCCTGATGGCTCCTTTGGACCCTGTTGCTGGCTGCAGCAGTACAGCTACTCTTTGCTGGCTCCACAAACTAGAATTGTTATGAGTCGGTTCTGACTTAACAGCACACAACAACAATAACATTACCCTCTCATGTTGAAGCAGGGTGTTGTTCAACTTTCAGGTGTATAAATTTTCCTCTTTAGCCTCTTGTTGATTTCTAGTTTTGCAGCATTTTGGTCTAAGAAAATGCTTTGTATTATTTCTATGTTTTTTTAATTTATTGAGTCTTGCTCTGTGACTTAAAATATCATCTATTCTGGAGAATGTTCCATGCATGCTGGTTGTTATTGTTGTGTACCATTGAGTCAGAATTGAACCATAGCTGACCCTCTGGTGGGTTTTCAGAGGCAGTTAATTGCACTGGAGAAGGAGATTGCCCATCCTTCTCCAATGGAGAAGCTGGTGAATTCAAACCACATGCCTTTGGAATTTCAGTGTAACTTATTGCCACTAGGCTACCAGATCTATGTGTGCTGGAGAAGAACGTATACTGAGCTTTTTTGGGGTGTATTAGTCTGTATATATCTATGAGACTGAGTTGATTGTGCAGTTTAATTCTTCAGCATCTTTGTGGTTTTTCTTTCTGCTGGTTCTATATTTCCTTGAGAGTGGCGTATTAATGTCTGTTATGTTTGGGAGTGTGGAGGGATGGTGCAGGAGGGGAAGATCCTCAATGAGATGGATTGACTCAGTGTGACTGGGATAATGAGGGTAAGTGTGTCAGAGACAATAAGGTTGGCTCAGGATAGAGCAGGGTTCAAAGCTATGAGTTGCAGGTGACTTGAGGATATATAACAATAACAACAAATATTACTATACTGGTGTTGTCTATTTTTTCAGTTCTGTTATTGTTTGCTTTGCTTATTTTTCAGCTCTATCATTTGATGCATGGATAATTATGTACTCTTGTTCTATTGACCTTTTATGCATTATACAGTGCCCTTCTTGTTCTTTTTATGCTGAAATCTGTTTTGTGTGTTGTGCTCTGTTGAGCTAGAACCGACCCCTAGCTGACCCTCTGGCAAGTTTTTAGAAGCAGTTAATCAGATGGGAGGAGATTGCCCATTTTTCTCACTCAGAGCAGCTGGTGGATTCAATCTATAAGCCTTTGGGATTGCAGTGCAGCTTCTTGCCACTAGGCTAGCAAAGCTCCCTGAAATCTGTTTTATCAGAGATTAATATTGCTACTACTGCTTTTTAATGGTTGCCATTTGCTTAGTATATCTCCCCCCTTTTCTTTTCAGTCTGTCTTTATCTTTACTTTTCAAATATGTCTCTTGTGGCCAGCATATTGATGGGTTTTGGTCTTTATCCAATTTGCTACTCTTTTTCTTTTCACGGGTGTATTTAAACCATTCTCAGTCAGTATAATTATTGAGAGGCAGGATTTTACTGCTATCTTTTTTGGGGGGTTCTTTTTTGTGTTGTTATTGGTTACTTTGACCCATCCTCTCTCTATGGTGTCTCATGAGGACTTCCTTCAGTATTTTCTGCAACATTGGTCTTGTTTTTACAAACTTCCTTAGTTTCTGTTTCTCTAAGAATATCTTGATTCTCCTCATATTTGATGGACAGTTTTGCTAGATAGTCTTGGTTGACAGTTGTGTTCTTTTAGCATTTGATTTATGTCATTCCAGTGCCATTTAACCTGCCTGGATTCCGCTGAGAAATCAGTGTTTAATCTTATTTGTTCTCCTTTATAGTTTACTCCCTGTTTTTCCCTATAATTTTATCTTTGTCTTTGATTCTGATAAATTTGACTATGAAATGCCTTGATGCTTTTCTTTTGGGGTCTATACTACATGGGGTTTGCTCAGCTTCATGTATGTATATTCTGTTATTCTTCATGATAACTTGAATGTTTTCTTCTAGCAACTTTTCTACAACTTTCTCAGTGCGTTTTTTTGGCTTCTTCCTCTTCTGGAATTCCAGTTTTACATGCTCTTGATGGTATCTCACGTTGTTCTTAGGTTTTTCTCATTTCGCTTCCTTTTTGATTCTACTTTTAGCTGTAGTAGATCACTGCTGAGAGCCGTATCTTCTGTTTCACCGATTCTGTGCTCCTTCTCTTTAGTTCTGTTCATTTTTCCCTTCAACATGTTGACAGCTTCTGAGACACTGGTTCCAATATTCTAGATTTTTTTTGTAGGGTTTCTAATGCCTCATTTGTTGTATATGCATTGTCTTGAATTTTTTATGTTTCTCTTTGCTTTTGCTCGTAGAATCCTGTAATTCTCTGAGGTTTTCTTTCACACATTGAGAATATTTGACCATTGTTCTTTTGAATTCTATGTCAGAAACTTTAATCAAACTTTCTGGATTCAGAAAATCCATTAATTTTGTGTTTTCATAACTTTTTTGGAGGGTGATATTTTGCTTTGTGTAGTTTTGTGTAGGGTAGGAGGTAGTCTGTTTCATCCATGCCATTGCCGTGACAGCATTTTTCTTGCCTGAGGTCCTAGTTGGTCCTAGGTCTAGGACCTTGGCTGGGGAGTTCACTGCTCCAGAGGAAGCCTGGATCCTTGCCTGATCCCTCTCTAGTCCTTAGGCTGATGGGAAGATTTGTTTCTGTTGGGGAGCTGAACACTCTAGGAGGGAAGAAGAGAGCAATTCAACTTGTCTGTGGTCTTTCCTCTCTGGCCCTGTGGCAAAGGTTACTGAAACTGGGGAGCCCACTCTGAAGTGAACTTGATCAGCCTCTAATCTTTCCTCTTGGGTCCCCAAGCTGGCAGGAACACTCAGTGGGCTGGGGAGCCCACTGGAAAGGAATTGGAGAAGAACTCACCTGCTGCTATTTCTTCTCTGCTCCCCTAGTTAAGTTCTCTGTGGCTGGGGAGCCCACCAAAAGGGGAACTGGATCTGCCTCTGTCTGCGGGCTGCTGGGACTATCACCCTGACTTGGGGACATACCCAAAAGGGAGCTAGAGGAGAACTCACTCTACTTCTGTTCCTTCTTCTCTGGTCCTGCAGCAAAGTTCACTGTGGCTATGGATTCCCCTGGAAAGAGAACTTGCTCTGCCTTTCCCCCAGGGCTACTAGGAGTTACTTGCAGTGAGAGCTCACCTGGAGGGGAGCCTGCACTGCTTCTTCTCCTTCCTCTGGTCCTGCAGCAGCAAAATTCTTTGTTGCTACTCCCTCCTAATTTTAAGCCAAACAAAATTTGGTTTAAATACTAGAAGTCTCCCTCTACTCTCTCCTTTAGCTTTGTTCCACAAATGATATGTTGTTCTTGTGTGCTGTCATGTTGCCTGCGACTCATAGTGACACTATGTACAATAGCACTGAACCCTGCTCTATCCTGAGCCAACCTTACCATCTCCAACACACTCATCCCTGTTACCCCAGTTATGGAGTCAGTCCATCTCATTTTCCTCTCCTGGTCTGTCCCTCCACCATCCTAAACATAATGTCCCTCTCTAAGGTCTGGTCCCTCCTTACAACATGTCCAACGTACATCAAACAAAGCTTGAGAATCTGCCTCCAAAAAGCAGCCTAATTTCACTCTCTCTCAGACGAACCTGTCTGTTCTTCTAGTAGTGCATGGTATATTCAGTACTCTTCTCCAGCACCACAGCTCAAAGGCATCAACTCTTCTTCTGTCTGTCATCCTTAGTGTCCAGGTTTCTGAAGCATGGCACGTTCTTGTGAAGATCATGGCCTGGTTTGAAACACCTTAGTCTCCAGACTGACATCATTGCTTTTCAGTATTCTGGAGAGGTGCCTGACAGCTGACTTTCTCAATGCAATTCATCTTTTTATTTCCTGGCTTTTGGTACCAAATTTGTTGATTGTGGAACCAAGCAGACTGAAGCTGTTAACAATCTCAATCTCTATCACGATGCTGCCAATTGGCCCACTAAGAATCTTTGTTTTCTTGATGTTGAGCTTCAATACATATTGAAGGCTGCTGTCCTTGACCTTCTGCAGCAAATGCTTCAGTCCTCCTCAGTTTCAGCAAGCAGGGTTGTGTCATCTGCATAACGCAGGTTGCTAATGAGTTTTTCTCCAATCCTGATGTCACACTTCTCCTCATAGAGCCCAGACTCCCAGATAATCTGTTCTGCATATAGATTGAAAAAGGTATGGAGATAGGACTCATCCCTGGTGTACACCCTTCCTGATTTTGAACCATGCAGTGTCTCCTTGCTTTGTTCTGACGACTGCCTCCTGATCCAAGTATAGGTTTCACATAAGCACAATCAAGTGTTCTGGGATTCCCATTCTTCTCAGTTAGCCATAGTTTATTGTCCACACAATTGAATGCTATTTAAAATAATTGACTTCATTCAGAAAGTTTCCTAGGTTTCCTAGATACCTTTCTTTTGAAGGGTAGATTGTTTTCTCCTAGTTAGATAAAAACATCTCTTTGTAATTTTGTTTTTAGTTTAATTATGATCAAGAACGTATTTTGTACTACGGCAATTATTTTAAATTTGTTGTCTTATTTTATGTCTCAGAATATTGTCTATATTAATTGTCATTTCAGGTGAAATGGCTAAGAATATATGATCTCTGTTCTGGGGTCTGAATTTTATAAATGTGTTGTTGTTGTTGTTTGTAGTGCCAGTTAGGATTTGACTCTATCAGTTATTGTTTTGTATATTTTGAAGCTCTTTAGAATTATTTTATCTTCTTGGTGATTGGTTTTTTCATCCTTATGCATTGTCTCTCTTCATTCCTTATTCTAAAG